ATGCCTATTGGGGTATAATTATGGAGTATTGGTTGGTAACAAATGAGACTTGAAAGGATGTAATGTATAACAGTACAAATTAGGGCATTACATTATCAAAAAGTACAAAAAACAGTTATCATATTCTATGGTGTAACGACCCGACTGGTCATTTTGAGCATTTACACTTCGCTCGGTATTTTGGGGGCACGATTAGCTCCGTATGATGTATTAGGACTTGTGTGCAAAATTTGGGTTCATTCCGAGTTTATTTGATATGTTTCGGCGTGAGTTTTTAGAAGACGCAAGTTCGAAAGTTCACTAAGTTTTATTTGAGGTGCATTTCGTTGTTTCGATATTGATATGTGTGTTTTGAGGCCTCGAGTAGGTCCATATTATGATATGAAAGTTTTTGGTATGTTTAGACGGGGTCCCGAGGGGCTCGGATAAGTTTCGGATAGGTTTGGGTTGTGTTGGGCTCGTTTTTCTTATGTTTCGACATCGTTTCTTCAAGCATAAAGCATTAGATCCGTATCGTAATTACGGAGCCATAGCAAAAAGAATCATCAAATTTAGACATCGTATGAGAATTTTATTGTCATTTTACTATGAATTGAGTTGCCAGATTTTTTTAGATTAATTACAAAATTGTCGCTGCTGCGTATTTAAAAATCTGCACTATTTTCAAATATTGAAACTAACATATCTTCTTCAATATAAGGTCAAATAGAGTGATTCAAGAGCCTAACTTGACTAGAATTCCATAAGGAATCTATTGGAGGTATCAATGTGAGTTGCAAGGTCTTATGGCACAAGAAACAAGACAGAACAGTGTTAAAACGAGGATTTTGTTGCATTTAACATATTTTGAGTTGGGGAGCTCGGAATTGAGCAATATTTCGAGGCGCTTTTCAGCATATAAATTGGGGTACGTGTTCTCTACTCGGTTTTGGTTATATTTCATGAATCTATCTTCGATTTTAGCTTTTAGTTGATGAATTTTAAAGAAGAAATTGGGGGCTTTGGCCTAAAGTTTCATCATATGAAATTTTGAGTTTTGAACACCGATAGTTGGATTTGAGTGAAACTAGTATGGTTGAACACATAATTTAATGGGTTAACGGATTTTGTGAGTTTTGTCGGGTTCCGAGGTGCGGGCTCGGGTTGGGCTTTTTGGCCAATTTTGGGCTTTTGATTAAAGATTCAACCTTTTTCGATTGGGATTGGTTCCTTTAGCACTATTTGATGTATTTTAGTTATTTTTGATTAGTTTCGAGCCATTCAGAGGTAGGAAGGCCCGTGATGGGATTTTTGGAGCATCACTTGGCTTGCTCGATGTCGGAATTGGCTTGTTTAAGATAAGTAACTCTTCTAAACTTAGTGTTGAGGGTATAAAACCCTAAATTATGTGCTATATGGTTGTTTTTGAGGTGATGCACATGCTAGGTAACGGGCGCGTGGGCATACACCCCATGAGTTGTGACTTTGTTGTTTCCGGGGCACTGAATAGTTGCCCTATTTTATTGATATATGTGTTTTCACCATGTGAGAAGATAAATGAGTTGTACATCATGCTAGATATCATGTTTAGGCTTTATGCTGATAATGCTAGGACCCATAGTGGTCGTTTCTTGCTGTCATCTCATTGAATTCGTTGATATTTCGTACTCAGTCACATTCATGAATTCATATCATATCTCAGTCTTAGTTGTTACTTATTGATACATCATATCATTATTCCGGGTTAGTTTTCATCACATTGTGAGCCCGTGGGTGAGACTGGTGAGATTGATGATTAAGTGAGGCCGAGAGCCTGATTATGAGTGACAGCTATGGGATCGGGTTACAAGCCGCAGCAGATTATATATTATGTCTTCGTTGGCTTGTTATAGCACTTGGGCTGAAGGAGCCCCTCTGGAGTCTACACACCCCCAGTGAGCGCGGATGATATTATTGAGGGATCTTTTTCTGGACATGGATTTTTCTGAAGTATTGATTATATTCAGGGATGGATCTTCCCTTGGTATGGAGATGGATCTTCTCCATGAGGCTGGATTAGTATATATTACGGGATGGATCTTCCCTGGGCCGAATGGGCCATGTACAGTACTGAGTAGTTGATTATGATGAGTGAAAGGTGTGATACAGTGAGGTTGAGTACTTTGAGAGTGTGAATACATGATTTATCTCTAAGGTACATGGCATTGACATGCATATATGACATGCATGCATAGAGACATATTTTCCTCATTCTATACGGTATCACGTCATTCATGACATTTTTACACACATCGATATGTGGTCATATGGAGGTATCTCACACTTGTTACTTGGAAAGAAAATGAAACATCTTATTTATTGTGAAAAAGGATTTTCTGAAAAAGAAATACAGTTTACAAACTATCTCATATTTCATGACGTTTTCGGTAAAGAAATTGTGTTTTTCACTGATTTTCTTAAAAGGCGGAATTATTTTGGAAAAATATGAAAAGGCTGAGCATTTTATCTCTAAGCAACTTCTTATGTACTTGCTTTACACTGTTATGAACCGCTATTGGTTATTGGTGTTGGACCCGACCTATGTTCCAGCTTGTCACTACTTTCAACCTAAGGTTAGGTTTGTTAATTTTTGAGTACAAGGGGTCGGTTGTACTCATACTGCACTTCCTGCACATTGCGTGCAGATGATGTCGATGTTGTTGCGTTCAACGATTGCTTGATTAGAAGGCGTACCTGTGTTCCTATTGTATGTTGCCTCTTGTTCATGGTAGCTATAGATTTATAAAAACTCTATTTATGTACTTTTCAAACAGAAGATACATTTATTTCATACCATCTTTGTAAACTCTATAATTAGAAGCTCATGATTTGTACTACCAGTCCTTGGGAAATGTAATAGATCCAGATAATTTATTTTGTTTAATTGACTTATTAGCATTATTGAACTGGATAGTTATTAGTTGGCTTACTTAGCGGATTGGGTTAGGTGCCTCACGACCAGTGGATTTTGGGTCGTGATAAAATGGTATCAGAGCTCTAGGTTCATAGGTTCTACAAGTCATGAGCAAGTGACTAGTAGAGTCTTGCGGATCGGTATGATGATGTCCAAATCTATCTTCGAGAGGCTACAGGACATTTAGGATATACTTCCCATCTTTCTTTCCTTTTCCTGCGACATTGATTCAGCTTGAAGTGTAACTCTTTGAATTCCTTCCACGCATTCGTATGCGTATGTGAGCGCTCGGTATCAGTTGTACAACGACGGCTTGTGATTCCATGGAAGAGGTGCAAGATGTAATTTTGGTATGTTGATGATGGTCCAGTCTGGAGGACTTGAGGCCGGGTTTTGACTGTGGTTTGATCATAAAGGTGTTGATTGTGTGAGCATGTGCTTTTGGAGTTATATGTCCGGCAATGTCCCTATTCGTAGAATTTATGGCTCGATGGCTACGTGATGAATATGATGTGACTATGATATATGTTCATATGGTTGAATATGACGAGAAAGATCTGCTTGGAGTGTAGAAAGAACTATTTGGTGCTTGATTTCCATCTTGATTTAATGTATAGTCCCGAGTTATGGGTGTGTTAAAGGGTATTTTCATGTTGATTAGTTGAGGAGTGAAGTAGATTTTATGTCGAGATATGAGTTCAGACACAGGAAGATTAAGTGATAGCAAAATATTTATGACCGTGGAAGGGTACAGAGAGAGGTCGGTTTGAGGCAAAGTAGGTGGGCTATCTTCTACAGATATGTTTCAGAATTATCTTAGTGTTTCCGCACTTAATTTATATCATTCAGACTTTCAGTATATCAGCATATTTAGTTTATCTTCCGCATACAATATGTCATGATACCATATGTTGATTAAGCCAGCCAGTTAGTACGCTCGGTCGCATGTAGTAAGGCACCGGGTGCTGTGTTATGTCTAGTATCGTATTACGTCTAGGCCCAGGTTCGAGGCGTGACAAAGCTTGGTATCAGAGCACTAGGTTCATGTGTCCTAGGGAGTCTATGGAGCCGTGTCCAATGAAGTTTCCTTTATATGTATGTGCTAACCATGCATATAAATGGTAACTTCTAAGACATTGCAGGATTGTCTCCTTTCTTTCTACTCTAGGTCGTGGCATGAAGCTTAGAGCAATAGTAAACTTCTTTCCTCTCGAATTCTAGACGTATCGAATGCCTAAGCGACGGGCAGGAAAAACTCAAGGTCCTAAAGAGGATGAACGCCTATTGGAGTATAATTATGGAGTATAGGTTGGTAACAAATGAGACTTGAAAGGATGTAATGGATAATAGTACAAATTAGAGCATAACCTTATCAAAAAGTACAAAAACAGTTATCATATTCTATGGTGTAACAACCCGACTGATCGTTTTGAGCATTTGCACTTCGCTCGGTAGTTTGAGGGCATGAGTAGCTCCGTATGATATATTAGGACTTGTGTGCAAAATTTGAATTCATTTCGAGTTGATTTGATGTGTTTCGGAGTGAGTTTTGGAAGTCGAAAGTTCGAAAGTTCATTAAGCTTGATTTGAGGTGCATTTCGTTGTTACGATATTGTTATGTGTGTTTTGAGGCCTCGAGTAGGTCCGTATTATGATATGGAACTTTTTGATATGTTTAGACGGGTCCCGAGGAGCTCGGGTGAGTTTCGGATAGGTTTGGATTGTGTTGGGATTGTTTTTCTTATATTTCGATGTTGTTTTGTCAAGCATAAATGGTACCACCACTACTACAAAAAGGGCCTTTGGCGGCAATTATTTAGCGGCAATAAGGTAATTGCCGCTAATAGATTCTATAAGCTGAAATATTAGCGGCACATGACCATTAGCCAGTAAAAAATATCCTTTTACCGACAATAAAAATAAATTTCTACTAAAAATTACTAATTAAAATTAAATTTTTTATTATTTTAACTTTCCCTCCGCATCCGAAAAAAATTATCTTTCCCTCCAATTTTTTGGACAACAATGAATTATTCCCTCCAATTGAACATGAAATGGGTTTATCTATTCTCTCAGTTTTTGGGGCTTTTTCCTCTGGCTTTCGTACATTTAATTGATTATTACGTCAAAAAATTGAAGGCACATTCATAATAGCAAGGAATCAAAAAAGGCATCGGTCTCTCAATATTCTTCGAAAATCATTCCAAAATATTTCTCACCGCTTCAAATCTGGCGAACATATATCAACAATGAATAGAACCGCTTCCATTGCAGTGGCACCAAAAATTGATAATAAATCAACAATCAACAAGGAGAAGAAACAACCCAGCAACCGTTTCAAGCTAAATCTCAATTCCAGATGCAATAGCGAGAAGAAATCAATTTAACCATCTGTGAGAAAGATATGAAGGTACAAAGCTTCATATTTTGTTGGTATTTGTCTTTATCAATTTAATCAATTTGACTTTTACATCATTTGTCCTATGGAAAGAGGAAAAAAACTGGGAATAACATCTCCAACCGGTGTTTGCAGCATTTATAAAATTTATAATTCTGTTTCTACAAAAAATGATGGATGTATTAGAGTGACAAAATGAGCTAATCAACAAAAGGAAAGTGTTTTTCTTGTGATTTTATCGGATAAAAGAATGACAATTCAGAAGAAGATATAAGAGAGAGGAAATGTGATATGTCAAGATGATGGTAAGGTAAAAACTAGCTTTTTTAATTTCTATTTTTATATTTGCTATGAACTTTTGCTGAAGAGCAAAGACATGATAAATAGGAGTTGAGAAATTTTTTTCAAAAAGGTTAAATAGTGTATTTCTTCCCTCATTTTGCAGCGTATTTTTATATTGGTTATGAATCTAATGATTGTTCTTTAGCTGTATGATAGTAAAAATGCAGAAAAGATAGTGTAACAATAACAATTCCTCAACTGAACAAGAAGACAATAAATAAAGGGTGAAAAAATAAAAGACATCAGAGTGGTAGGAAAATCTTTGTTAAGGTATTATTCTGTTAATTTTTAAGAATGGGAAGAATATTTTAGGTGTATATCAATCCTAAGTTTCCTTTGGTATGTAATAATGATAACCATTTTACTTTTCCTTTACCTTTTAAGACCGATTCTTCGATGACCAATTGTGTTACATTTGCATCTTTGCCTTCTTCCCTTAGTTATTTTCAACTTTCTAGCTTTGCTTCTGCCTGTTGCAAGAAGATATTCAACGAATCACACGTGACGATGGTTGATTACTAATGTATCTTCTGATATGTTCATTTCATTTGTTAAATGCTGACTAATCTGGAGATTTCACGCTGAGCCATGTTCTTTTTCTTAATCTAATAGATGGAGGCATTTTTCCTTGAAAAAACTCGATTTGTTAGGATACTTGTCTGTCTTAATATCTAGGAGTGAATTTTTCATTTTTTGCCTGTGCTTCTTGATTAGAAAATTGTCGAATGCTATCCTAATGACTTTATTTGTGAAATAAATTATTTGTCAATTAAACAGAGTATCGTTACCCAAAGTTTGTGATAGCAGTATTTTAATATTTTTGTAGTTTGAATGCAATAGTATTCTCTTGATTGCTTCTTAAATTACTGTGTCATTTGTTTATGTAGAACTTGGATGTGAATTGAATTTATTTATTTTTACTAAAAGAGAAGGCTTAGCTTGCAAGTTGCAGTGTATGTGTAAAGTAATATAATACTTTGTGGATGACTATGTGGTTGATTATTTTTCTGGAAAATATGTGAATTGTCTGTGTAGAATCCACCTATTATGACTCTATTATTTGAGTACCTCAATCTAATATGACACTATTTTTTTACCTTCCTGTAGGTATTTGATCTAATTATGGGACGAAAATTTTGATATGTATGGATTCTTATATGTGCAAGTATTTACAGTTTTAATAGTGATTTTAATTGTTTATAAGATTTCTCTGTAATTGTAGGTAACTTGCAGAGGAGTTGCAGATGGTCGTGACTGAAGTGGAACCACTGAGACCAATGAGGTGCATAATATGAAACGTCTCAAGGTGTTTTTTTGTACTTAAATCATTGTTCATCTCTTAAGTTTTCATCTATTCCGTAAAGTTATTTGAATGTGCGAAAAGCTTATGGTAGTTCTCTGCCTCTCTCATATTGCATTCATAGACTCCGTGACATAGTATATCTGAGCAATTTTTGGACTAAGCAACAGTCCCTGAAAACTATAATCCTCAAACCTTTTCAAGTACTCAGTCTCTTTTTAATATACCATGTTGGTATTAGTCATGGCCAGCTTGCACACTAGAGAGTTGTTGGGATGGAGCATGAATTGTCACATCATATGATGAAGTTTACAACAGCTTTTATGCTTGTGTGTGCAAGAAAAGCTTGTGAGAAAAATCTATGCCTGTGATTTTGAGAATTCTTTTGCTATTCAACATATGACTATTCTTCTCTACAAAGTCTTGATGCTAACCAACAGGCACAATCTGGAACTAAAAAGCAAATTTCACGTTTACTTTATACTATATGGAGTATGTTTTCTTGTAAAATAAAGGGAGAAAAAAGAAAATAGTGATCTTTAACCAATCTCAAAATAGGAACATGAAGCTTCTCACCATATTATATGTTTGTTTGGTTATAATATAATTTATCAATGTTTGTGGCCATGAGGTAATGTTACAGAATATTTATCAGGAACATGATGCTAATAGTGTCCATGAACGAGTACCACAGACATCAAGGATACCTAATATTATTGAAAATACTCCAATGTCTTACGGTATTACTCATCTTTATCCTTCGGCAAGCTACTATTTGAGTTTTCTATTGTTTGAATTTTCCTCCAATTTTTTTTTTTTATCATTGGAGTCTAATTTCATGCAAACTTGCAAGAGTTAGCATGAACGGCAAAATCTTGCAGCTTTCACTTATTTATATTATAACAGTAACTTCACTTGCCTAAATAAACCTCCAGGGTACAATTTTGCATGTAACAAACAATACTTGTTAAGATGGTTGCTGTTGTTCTTTTCACTACTTGTAATTTCAGAATACATCATTTTCTTCTCATGTTTCTCTAATTTCTCCTGGAAATCTGATCCATTACAACCCTCAGTGGCTGCAAGATATTTGTGTTCTTTTAGGCATGGAAAGTCCATGAACTTGTGCATATTGGTATTTAACATGTAGTTGGTTTGCAGATGTGATAACTTATTTTTTTCCTGCTGGATGGTTGGTCTGATGGTGCTGTTCATTAGACAATGCACATGTTCTTAATGTCTAAATTTGTATGATCATCTCTCTCTTGCATTCCTCTTATATTTAGTGTTGCGCTAGTAGGAGAAGAAGATTTCTTGCTTATGTGTACATCTAAAGTGCATCGCAAACCTTTTAATTTGTGTTTAACTGATTGTATGCATACCTTACTCTCCTTTTATCTAATTTATTGTCGTTAAGATTTGTTTTGTTAGGTTTCGCATGATACCTTGTCATTTCAACCCCAACATATGTATGACTAGTGAAATAAATTAATGGTGAATCTTGCTCTATTTGTCATTCAATCTCTCTATTCAATGGAAGTACAAACTATACAAAGAAAAATAAAAGATTGGCCAACAAAGATAAATAACAACTTGATCATTTGTTTACCCCTTGATTTTGGTGTTTTTCTGCTTTCATTTACCTATAAGAAAGATCAAGAAATTGAGATTCTATAACGTTATAGCCACTTCGTTTATCAAGAAACTAAATGAATCATGTTACTGGAAGCCTTTTGATACACATTTGTCTTTGGGACGAGAAAAAATGTTGCATATGCAGAGACTTCCTTCTATTCCCCGACAGGCATGGAACCAAGCCATAAGGCTAGCCATTGAAAGCTATAAAATGGGAACAATCTTTGGCAATGTGAAGTTTGTCAAACTTGTGATAGACAACTCTAATCCTTCCATACATAATCTTCCATCCTGCTGCACCAAGTATTAGGGGGTAAAGTTCTTAGACAATGACTTCTGACCTTTTCTGGAAAGATGGACATAGTATTTTGTAAACATCTCTGTATACCCTTTTTCTTTCTTTCCCTAGTGTTCTGTGATCCATGCTCATATTACCTCAAGCTCATATTAACTTACATACACTTTCTTTGTCTAATCTATTTAGTATTATGAGCAGATTAAGTGACATGCTTCACTATTATCACCGTTTCTCTTCCCAACATTGAATGAGCATTGTGTGTTCTCTTTTACTATATGGAAAAATTGACTTACCTAATCATAATTTCAAGCAAGATTTAACTTAGCCTGGAATTGAGGATTATTGTATTTCATCTATTGACATATTTATTTTATAATTTCAGATCATATAGTCTAATGTTCGATAATTTAGCGGGTGGAAGATTTTAATATGACAAAGAGTTGCAGAAATTATTTGAAGATTGTTATTCGTTAAGATTAGTTATATAATGACATTAGCTATTTACTTCAAACAATATAAATTTATCTTTTAAGTTACAGTGATATTAATACCTTTTACCAGCTTTTGTTAGAAATACCGCTAAAGGCTTTACCGACCCCGGCTTCAGCGGCGAAACACCAATTGCCGGTAAATGATATAGTGGCTATTGTAATTCCGCCAATGCTATTTTTTATTGCCGCTAAAGTCCCTTTTTGTTGTAGGGCACATTGAACAAATGAGCTCCGATTATTGTTTTTATTGAAGCATTAGATCTATATCGTAATTATGGAGTCATAGCAAAAAAGGAATCATCAAATTTGGACATCGTATAAGAATTTTATAGTCATTTTACTAAGAATTGGGTTGCCAAATTTGTCAGATTAATTACGAAACTGCCACTGCTAAGTATTTAAAAATTTGCACTATTTTCAAATATTGAAACCAGCATATCTTTTTCAATATAAGGTTAAATGGAGTGATTTAAGAGCCTAACTTGACTAGAATTTTATAAGAAATCCATTGGAGGTATCAAAAGCAAGTTTAGAGATCTTTTGGCACAATAAACGAGGTAGAACAATTTTAAAATGAGGGTTTTGTGCATTTAACATATTTTGAGTTGGGGAGCTCGTAATTGGGCAATATTTCGAGACGTTTTTCAGCATATAAATTGGGGTAAGTGTTCTCTACTCAGTTTTGGTTATATTTCATGAATCTATCTTCGATTTTAGCTTTTGATTGATGAATTTTAAAGAAGAAATTAGGGGATTTGGCCTAAAGTTTCATAATATGAAATTTTGAGTTTTGAACACTGATAGCTGGATTTGAGTGAAGCTAGTATGGTTGAACTCATAATTTAATAGGTTAACAGGTTTTGTGAGTTTTGTCGGGTTCCGAGGTGCAGGACCGGGTTGGGCCTTTTGGCCGATTTTGGGCTTTTGATTAAAGATTCGACCTTTTTCGATTGGGATTGGTTCCTTTAGCACTGTTTGATGTATTTTAGTTGTTTGTGATTAGTTTCGAGCCATTTGGAAGTCGGAAAGCGTGTGATGGATTCTTGGAGCATCGCTTGGCTTGCTCGGTGTCGGAATTGGCTTGTTTAAGAAAAGTAACTCTTCTAAACTTAGTGTTGAGGGTATAAAACCCCAAATTATGTACTATGTGATTTGTGTTGAGGTGACGCACATGCTAGGTTATGGGTGTGTGGGCATGCACCTTGTGAGTTGTGACTCTGTTGTTTCCAGGGCATTGAATAGTGGCCCTATTTTATTAATATATGTGTTTTCACCATGCGATAACATAAATGAGTTGTACATCATGCTAGATATCATGTTTACGCTTTATGCTAATAATGTTAGGACCCATAGTGTTCGTTTCTTGCTGTCATCTCATTGAATTCATTGATATTTCGTACTCAGTCACATTCATGAATTCATATCATATCTCAGTCTCAGTTGTTGCTTATTGATACATCATATCATTATTCCGGGTCAGTTTTCATGACATTGTGAGCCCGCGGGAGAGACTGGAGAGATTGATGACTAAGTGAGGCCGAGAGCCTGATTATGAGTGACAGTTATGGGATCGGGTTGCATGCCGCAGCACATTATTGATTATGCCTTTGTTGGCATGTTATAGCGCTTGGGCTGAAGGAGCCCCTCCGGAGTCTACACACCCGCAATGAGTGCGGATGATATTATTGAGGGATGGATTTCTCTGGATATAGATTTGTCCGAAGCATTGATTATATTCAGGGATAGATCTTCTCTTGGTATGGAGATGGATCTTCTCCATGAGGTTGGATTGGTATATATTTCGGGATGGATCTTCCTTGGGCTGAATGGGCCATGTACAATACCGAGTGGTTGATTATGATGAGTGGAAGGTCTGATACAGTGAGGTTGAGTACTCTAAGAGTGAGAGTACATGATTTATCTCTAAGTTACATGCTATTGACATGCATATTTGACATACATGCATAGAGACATATTTTCCTCATTCTATATGGTATCACATCATTTATAACATTTTTACACACATCGATATGTGGTCATAGGGAGGTATCTCACACTTGTTATTTTAAAAGAAAATGAAACATCTTATTTATTGTAAAAAAGGATTTTCTGAAAAAGAAATACAGTTTACAAACTATCTCATATTTCAAGACGTTTTCGGTAAAGAATTTGTGTTTTTCACTAATTTTGTTAAAAGGCGGAACTATTTTTTGAAAAATATGAAAAGGCTGAGAATATTATCTCAGAGCTACTTCTTATGTACTTGCTTTACACTATTATGAACTATTATTGGTTATTGGTGTTGGACCCAACCTATGCTCTAAATCGTCACTACTTTCAACCTAAGATTAGGTTTGTTACTTTTTGAGTACATGGGGTCGGTTGTACTCATACTGTACTTTCTACACATTGCGTGCAGATCCCGGATGCCGATGTTGCTGCATTCAACGGTTGTTGGATTAGAAGGCGTACCTGCGTTCCTATTGTATGCTGCCTATTGTTCATGGTAGATGTGGATTTATAAAAACTCTATTTTTGTACTTTTCGAACAGAAGATATATTTATTTCATATCAGCTTTGTAAAGTCTATTATTAGAAGCTCATGATTTGTACTACTAGTCTTTGGAAAATGTAATAGATCCAAATAATTTATTTTGTTTAATTGACTTATTAGCATTATTGAACTGGATAGTTATTAGTTGGCTTACCTAGCAGGTTGGGTTAGGTGCCTCACGACCAGTGGATTTTGGGTCGTGACAGATTGGTATCAGAGCTCTAAGTTCATAGGTTCTACAAGTCATGAGCAAATGTCTAGTAGAGTCTTGCGGATCGGTATGATAACATCCATATCTATCTTCGAGAGGCTACAGGACATTTAGGATATACTTCCCATCTTTCTTTTCTTATCGTACGACATTGATTCAGCTTGAAGCGTAACTTTTTGAATTCCTTCCACTAATTCGTATGTGCATGTGAGCGTTCGGTATCAGTTTTACATCGACGGCTTGTGATTCCATGGAAAAGGTGCGATATGTAATTTCGGTATGCTGATGATGGGCCAGTCTGGAGGACTTGAGGCCGGGTATTGACATTGGTTTGAGCATAGAGGTGTTGATTATGTGAGCACGTGCTTTTGGATTTATATGTCCGGTAGAGTCCCTACTCGTAGATTTTATGGCTAGATGGCTACGTGATGAGTATGATGTGACTGCGAGATGTGTTCATATGGTTGAATATGATGAGAAAGGTCTGCTTGAAGTGTAGAAAGAACTATTTGGTGCTTGATTTAATGTATAGTCCCGAGTTATAGGTGTGTTGAAGGGTCTTTTCATGTTGATTAGTTGAGGAGTAAAGTAAATTTCATGTCGTGATATGAGTTCAGACTCAAGAAGATTAAGTGAGTGTGTAATGTTTATGACTATGGAAGGGTATAGAGAGAGGTCGGTTTGAGGCAAAGCAGGTGGGCTATCTTCTGCGGGGTATCATGAGGTTTGTGTGATCCCTATGATTATTTGTTGGGAGATCTCTTTTACCAGTAAAATATGTGTTGCAATTTGAGTTTGGATCGCTTATGAGAGTGGGCTTGACTATTACGAGGATGAATACGATATTTGCAAATGATTTGAGGTATTATATGGTTTGTGTTGCATGAACTTATGGAGGATTTAGTTGAATCTCACTATGATATTATGGTTGTAATAAAGTATGGGCATTGGGAGTTATGGTGTGTTTTGATCTATGGCTTTGAGCCAAGTGGGGGAGTCCGATATTGATAAGTTGATTCACGGTTATGTATTGTATTGGTTTCGATTTGAGGTATACTTGAGAATGAGTTATGCTCTGCAGAGGGTGAGATCGAGGATGACTTGAGTAAAGGAAATTCTGGGTAAATTTTATGAGCTTAAGAAAATCACGGAACGATTTGAGTTGTTATTGGTGAAGGATGTAATATGTGTGGAGTAGGAATTTATTTGGTTTCATTAAGGTGGAGTTACTTCCTTGGGTGTTGGAGTGCTAATGGGGCACCGATCGTTCGGTCCGTTTGGTCAGCCTTAGTGAGATTTGAACAGAGTGGAAGACTCTTGAGAATGGTTCAAATGAATTCAAGATTTGAGCGTGGCAATTGGGAATCTTCAGGATGTGTATTTGGCTAGAAACTGAGATTCATATAGGAGGATGTCAGGACTTGTGGCATTTCTATATCATTATGAATTCTATATATCAGTATCAAGAAGGCGAAGGTAATGGCTTTAGATTCGCAGAAGGCCTCTTCAAAGTGGGTATATCGGTTGTGGTTCTTTTGGGGTGATTAAGAGAGTATTCAACGCCTTATGAGCCTTAAGGTGATGTGGTTTATGCTAGGGTCTCGTGTGGTGAGTCTTGGTAGAAGATAAAGGTATTATGGCAAGGAGAAGTATCAATTTGAAGGTAATTCAAAAGGAACTAGGATAAATAGGACACCTTGGTAGTAGGTTGGATTGGCATGGTAATGGATGCGATTGGCTCTTTTGGTCCTTATGAGGAAGTAAGTTTCTACAGGTGTTTTGTGGCGGTACTCTTGGGTTTCGGTGGCCTGCGTGGCTTGGTTGAGTTAGAGAGATTTAGTTATGATGATTTGGTTATTTACAAATAGGTTTCAGAGAGTTCTCGATGGTTTCTACCACAATTTGAGATGTATATTTTCAACTGGCGTGAGGAGCATGTGATGTATGGTGATTTTCTCCGGATGAA